TCGACGACAGGAAAAACAGATACAAATGGGTTAAACAACCACAACCCTATGCCGTATAAGGGCAGATGGAGAATATATAAAAAGAATAAAGTACAAATTCATGCCAAACAATAAGTACCTTAATTACTTATGAAATCTTAAATATAATATTTTATTTAGAGTAAGTTAGTATCAGAACAACATTTACTTATTCTGTTAAAAGTTAATTAAATAAATTATCTTTAAACCATTTACAGTACCAGCTTATTTAACTATGAACATACCTGATAATACGAATCCGCCATATTTAGAAGACTTATTTGAGCAAATTTCTTCAATCGTCCAGAAAGTTATGCTTTGTTGTTTATTATAATTGATTCAATTTAAATCTTAAAAGTAATTTTGAAATTAAATTTAAAATTGTTTCTTCATGCAATAAAGTGATACAATTTTTCAATTGATATAATAATGCATTAACAATTTACACAAAAACTGTTATTAAAAATTTTATTTTTTTTATGTATTAAACAAACTACAATTAATTATTTGATAATAATCGCAGAAATAAATTAGACAAAGGATCCAAAAACGATCCGTAGTAATATTGAGCGCGGCGAGATGAGCAGATAAAGTTAAGAAATGCGGTTAAAATTATTTCTAATAAAAATTATAAAAAACACTTCACACGCGAACACTTATTATAATATATGTAATTAAAATTGAATTGATGTTAAATCTGCAAAAAACAATTGTATACATTATATTATTAATAATAATAATAATAAATGAAACGCATTTTAAGTTTATATTAAATTTATTATAGCAAACGATTTGCAAGAGATTCAATGAAATCAGTGCTTGTAATACTAAAAACAAAAAATATCTAAATCACCAACTATCAACTATTTACATCCGCTAAAAATTGATGCAATTATTAAAGCTTTTATCAGAGCAAATTGCACTCAATTTGAGACGCACACAAATTTTAGACTGAATATACCTCAATTGCGCGGTTTGGAAATGTTTATATGTACGCTATCATAAGATACAGTAAGCATAATTTATATTATTTATATGACAAATTTAGATAAATTTTTTCAAAACACGAATTTCCATTATTTCCATTCACCGTTTGCCAAATTTATAATAAGTACGTTGTTTGGAGTAGATTTATCAGAAGTAAGGCCAATATAGTATACAGTATACAGTACAAAAAATATTTATCTTCAAAAGTGTGTGACGAGTATAGTGAACTGTACTGTAACTAAAATAGTTTAAATAATAAAATAAAAAACATTTCTAAAATTTTAATAGAACCTTACAAGTCTATTGAGGCCCATGTTATATTGGGTATTACGGGCGCGTTAAAATTGGCTGTTTCGTGCTATGATGAAAACGCATGTTATGCAGAGTGTCACATCAGCTTATCAATTTTGTATTTTTACTATTATTTTTTTACATTTTGTTTGTGCCGAAATCTTAAAGGAAATATATATATACATACATACAACACGTCTTTGACTGAGTGACGAAGCACAGATAGGCTCGGCTTTCATGACCGAATTTAAACCGACATTTGTTTTCATCTCTAACCCTCAATTTTTTGATTTGCATTAAAAGCAACAACAATTTTGATTTTGAAGTTCCCGTGACACTCTACATAACATGGGCCTAACTAGTACAACAGATCAGTACAATTAAGGAAAAGAATTAAACATCGGAGTATATTAGCAAAACTTTTGTTTGTTGAATAACTTCCTATATAATAATTGATTTGATTCGAGTAAAGAAAAAACTACCTAATATTTACTCAAGTAATTATGTTAAATATTTATCACAACGGTTCATTATTTAATCTTCAATAGATTTTGGTCACAAGATCACCACTACAACTTCATTTAAATCGAACATCGAAAATGTCACATTCAAGATTATCCTAATATATTAAGTTCATATCAAAAACCCTTACACTTCACTAAAGTATGTAGTTAGCGCTCATTTTTATTTAAATATATATATTAAAATAACCCAAACTCTACTAGATAGTAGATATGATCTCCAGAAGCGACCGGGTCTACATCGTGGAGTCACTCGTCAGTGTTGACGATTAAGTTCCACTCACCGTACCCAAAAGGGACTATAATACCAGCAGAACTTCACGGGCTAATACAACAACAACAAATAGTAGACATCTGTAACAGTCATTCTATAAGAAGGTTTACTTGATTTAGGTTATTATGTGTAGCTGTTTTAAGGGACTTACTTCAGATTAAAATATTTTTTGAGAATATTTATGAATGAGACTTTGTATTTATTGTAATTCCTATATAGAACAGAGACCATAAAGTGAATAAACGACTTCTTACGAAAGCTGGACGGAGTCCCTTTATTCTTTTTACTTTAAACTACAGTTTAAATGGATGGAGCTACCATCCATTCGGCATAAATATCACTTTAACAACATTAAATAATGCGGAAAACAACTGTAGCACCAAACATGTTTTTCAGTTTTCTATAGGGTACGTCTGCATAAATATATTCAATGTTGAAAACAAAATATTTGTCATATCTTTCGAAATACAAATGTATATAAAAGAAAGATAATTTCTATACACATATTGTAATTACAAATGTGAACTTCTGAGCAGATAAATATATATTTTGCTGTATTGAGCTTATCATTATGTGTTTAACAAAAGAAGGAACATCGAAAGCAACGTAAAGTATATATATATTTACTTGATCAATTTGACGAAGCAAATTGACCTATATTTAAATAGAAAAGTTTGAAGTTAAAAACTAACTATTGAACGATGTTAATTTGTTATTATCTCAAATAGCTAAAACTTGGTTAAGTATTTACTTCCTTAGCGCTCTAAACTATTGTATAAGAGTCTGTTGTGGACTGGATTAAAACGTCCACATCATTGTTATATAAGGATTTCCAATAGAAAAATAGACTTCTGTAGTACAACAGGTGAACCTAACGTAATGTTCAACTTTAATTGAACGTGAGATATAATAGGGACCCCAGGAATCAACTAGGATCGTTATACTATAAATGTTTAATTGAACTTTAATTGAACGTGAGATATAATAAGAAGCTCAGGGATCAACTAGGATCGTTAAACCATTAATGCTATACCATTATACCAGTAATATATAATAATAATCTATTTTTATTATAACTTTTAATGCCGATATAGTGATTATTGTTAAATCCCTAAAACTTTTTAGAGATAGTATTAAAAAATATTTAATTCTATTAATGGTGTTTCACTCTGCAAGTATAAGTGTACTACCTATTGTATTATCTATACAACAGGCGACTTATCTTTATCGATATATTAATTGTACGCATATATTTTTGATTACTAAATTTGATTTATATTAAATATTACACCATAAGATACTATTTAGATATTTATACATTTATATATACAACACTAGATAAAAATATATCAATAATAATTATATAAGAAAATTATAGCACATATATGTATATGGATTATATACTATTCTTATATGGACACAACTTTTAATATAAAAGGCCTACGTCATTGCTTCACTTTATGTTCGAATATGATAACAATAATCTCCGGTGTTAAATATAAAAATTATTCGATTTTGTTTATCTTTTATATAATATAAACAATTTAATACAATGAAGCTAAGTGCAATTGTGTAAGAGTTAAAATTATAAAATTTTTGTTTTATTACCTTGTGTTTTTCGCAGTACATATTCACTTCGGATTTGCGTATCAAACTTATGAAATTCCTTTAGTAATTTTATTTATTATGCACACCGGGCAGCTTTGATCGTGCTACTTTTAATGATATTTTGTAGTCCTGACTTTATTCATATTTTTTTATTTGAGTTGCTTTTAAAATTTAATAATACAACGCACACATGCATATAGACACATTAAAAAGTTAATATTAAGTCCAAAAAAGATGCAGAATTAAATTGTTTTTTATTTTTATCTTAGATTCTGTTTCACTTATATTCGTTTTCTTAAATAATTTTTTCTTGTTTTTTATTCATCTTCGCCGTCGCTTTGCAATTTTTATGAATTTTTGCATAATTCTTCTAATAAGTTTGTTAAATTAATTTTTTTTTCGTTGATACTATTGTTCGAATTATATTTATTTATAATATTTTTTACTTATAATAATGAAATAATATTAAAAACGCAAAACCAAAGAAATTAAAGCACATCATCGACACGACAAAAATTCCACCGACCAAAAAAGAAGTAAACGAACAACAATTAGCATGATGTTAGCACAGTGTTGCCTTTACTCTACACGAAAAAAGTAGTAGATTTTTAAAATTTATTAGAATTTGGGCATACTTGCGGATCAACAGTATTTAGCATAAATAAACATTAAACTGTAATAAAATAATTTTATAGTATAGAAATAAAATAAAATTTTTTAATTTAATTTAGTTTTATTGGTGAAGCTTTTAAAATAATTTTCAAATAACATACACTTTCTTTATTTTTTATATTACATTAAAAATACTATGCACCACGATTTAGGTTATCTACTGTGGTAACCACAGTTGTCTTAATTTATTTTCTAATAAACGTAAGCAGATTGCATAGTTTTATTTATTTTATTTAAAATATACTAAATCCTGATGTATAATTATACAAATCCCAGTTGTCTTAACCGATCTTTCTAAGAGCGTATGTTTCTTTCACTTGTTTTTTCTTAACATTATGCGAGGAAACGAATCTATACACTTTATTTAAATTATATAGCAAAGAATACCTTAAAGATATTCTTTGTTATATAGTATCCGAGTTACTTGTGCCAACACGTCTTAAACCATCTTTTAATAAACGTCAGCCCCTTGCTTGGTTTCATTTCTTGCTAATGTTAAGTGAGAAAACAAATCAGAAAACAACAGCTAAATTTCAGTTAACGTAACAACAAAATACATTGTTAACCTACATAATTACATACATAATTATCTAGTAAATAAATTGTTGTTCAGTGACTTTTCATAATAAAATTATAAAACAATTAGTTTTCATTTTTATTTATTAATTCATTAATTACAAATTACACGCATTTGATTATGTTACAACAAAATCATAATTTGCTAGAATACAAATATTAAATAATATTAAAAGTTACAGACAATTTTTTTCTTAATCATATCAACTCAAAATCAAAATTTCTTAAATAACATATTTCATCAAAGCATTGTACAAACATACGTATATTGTGAAAAATAAAAAATTATTATATATAAATTCATTTTCTTTAAAATAGTTAAGCGGCTGGCTTCTTCGGTAAAGACCCAAATGCTGATATCACTGTTCCTTTAGTACCAGTAACAGTCGTAGTTAGTGCTATTGCGGGCTTAACAGCTGCCGGTTGATCCCATTTTGATTTTCTAAAAAATATACAACAAATCAAAAAACAATCATTTATTTATTTGTACATATAATTTAATACAAAAATATTTATGACAATTACCGTTTTTTCGCTTCCTCTTCAACTTTGCGTGCTAAAACAGTTGCTTGCTCAATTTTATCTGTTTCTTTGCGTTCCTTTTGGCGTTTTAGCATCTCATTTTTCTGAACTCGCGCTAATTCTTCATAGAAACTTTCTGGTCCCCATTGATGAGGATTATAGATTTCTGGCGGATAATTTGTCCCAAACTCATTTATATCGCAAAACTGTATTAATTTTTCATAAATACTTGGATTACGAAATTCTTTTCGCCCTTGAATAAGACGATTCATATCCATATTATTTGAGTCCATTTTTTCGTACAATTGTCGTACTTTTTCAACCAATTCACCAGATGGTTTACCCTTTGGTTCTGGTGGCAATGTAAAATTGTAATGTGCATATTTACTATGTTTATCAATTTTACTTAAATTTGATACGTCCTTTATTGACTCCGAAGCTAAATCATTATCAACTTCCATTGGTGCTTCGGATTCTTCGGCATTCGTGCTACTTGACTCAGTTGAAACACCCTTCTCTTTTTCTTCTTCAGATTCGGAACTTTGAGATGTTTCTGTTTCTAAGTCATCGTCTTCATCAGATATTATTGTATCATCTTGATAACTAACAAGGCGACGTACTTTTTTGTTGCGCTTCTTTTTTTTTATTTCAACTGGAGATATTGGTTTAGGTTGTAATAACTGTGCTGAAATGTTTTGCTGTGGTATAATAACCTTTAAAGAAATTAAAGGGTTGTGGTTAGAGACAAATAAACATAAATATTTTTAAAATCTTACCTGAGATGATTGTGAATTTTGCGAATCACCACTATCGTCAGCTTGGTCATCTTCATTTTCAGAGTCTGTATATTGCGCAGTTAGGCTTGCTAAAGCTGATTTACTCATTTTGATAAATACTTTCTATTATTTTTTTATATGTATAATTGACTAACAACAGCTTGTCAACATTGCATACACGAAATAGCATTGAGGTGACAATTGAGACAGGGCTGTTATAATAAAATAAATAAGTTGCTTGCAAAATCTAAATTAATAGGTGACCTCACAAAAACTGTTAAGTACTGTTCATACAGAAACTTTTCATTCGTTCTTTTTTTGTTTTTCAGCAAAGAAATTCATTCAAGAAGTGCATTATAAATGTTTATTGAAAATGTTTCCTTTACAAAATAAGCAACAGCTTGTTTATATTAAAATAATGCGAGTTTTAACAATTTGATAGCAACTAATAATCAATGAACATACAATGCTTTATTTTTGTTTTATTAATTTATTTTTTCAGTATGTTAATATGAAAGAAGTAAACATTTTTTTTTAAATTTTCTAATTTATTTAATTATTTAAACTACGAGATTTGATTTTTGGAAATATATAGTAATTAATTGTAGTGAAAATCAAATTCCAAGAAATTAAATTTCGCTAACTCGGCATCTAACCTGACCTAACAGTTTAGCACCATATTTATGTTCAAAATACATTTAACGAAAAAATTTGCATGTGAAGAAGTGAGAGAGTGAGCAAAATTCTTATGTGAAAATAATGCAAATTGACATAAGCTCTTGACAATTAATAGGTCTGTTCTACGAGCTACTCATAGTAAAACTCAAGTAAAGGTTCAGTTAGACGGTAGGTAACGTAAGAAATTAATTCAAAGCGAAATGCACAAGCAAAAAAACCTGCGTATTTGATAGGAATGAAATAAATAAAGTTGACCGTTTTTGTTTATTTCGTTCCTAATAAATACGCAGGTTTGGTTGGTTGTGCATTTCGCTTTGAATTAGTTTTTTACGTTACCTACCATCTAACTGAACCTTAAAATATAAACTGAAAGCGTAACACAAATAAAGTGTTAAATGGTGAGAACACCACTGTCGCGCAATAGATAATACCAAATTTAAATTCAAACCAAAATAGCTGATTCTCACATTATACAAATATTTTTGAAATAAAATGTACGAATAAAGTCTGTGTAGCATTTTCAAATTTCGACAGGGATGTTATGATCTTTCGGAGGCACTTATATACTAGTGCTGTTCATATTCGAATTTACGAAGTATTCGAAGAAATTCGAATATTCGAATAGTAAACGAAGTCTTCGAAGTTGGAAAAAACTTCGAAGTTTTTGTGAATTTTTGTTCTCGAAGTCTTCGAAGTTTAAATGTAGTGAAAAACTTCGAAGACTTCGAAGACTTCGTAAGCAAAAGGTGAAGTGAGAGCGCAAAATGCAAACAAACGTGCATCACACAAATTATTTGAGGGATGAAAGCGTTTGCTTTGTTTGTACGGTTTTATGTTTTTTTTTTTTGGTATTCTATGCAGAAAATTAAAAACATGTTTTTTTGTTTTATTTTATTACATAAAATATTTTTATTATTTAAATATGTATATATATTATATTATTATTAAATATGTTATTATTAATATTATTTATATTAAATAAAAAAATATAATATAATATAAAATATATACGTAATAATATGAAAATATTGATATTGATGGATTTTATTAGTAAAGGAAATTTTATAAAAGTTTTCATTTTCCTTTTAAAAAAAATCACAAATTAAAATCTTGTAAATTAGTTATGGAAAAATGAGTTTTGCTCATTAATGCCTAATTATTTGACCTGTATGAGCTGTGATGATCACGCAGGTAAGCGCAAATTTATTTTTGCATTATAAAATTTTGAATGTTTTGTTGTAGTTACAGTTATTTTACTGTTTATGGAAAAATTTTAAATCCCTTATTCTAGGAAAAGAAATACATAATATTATAAGGAAGTATCTAAATAAAATGTAAATTAGTGTATAAGCAAAATTGTATAAAAGAAATTCCATCAAATTTTCATGTATTTTATATTATATTAAAAATTTTCATAAATATAATTTTTTAAATATAAATAATAAATATAAGTTATTTAAAATGTGAATTTTTTATTTAATATAAAAAATATTTAATAATAACATATTTAAAAATAATATATATTACAATACATATTTAATAATAAAATAATAAAATAAATTTTATGTAATAAAATAAAACAAAAAACATGTTTTTAATTTTCTGCATAGAATAACAACAAAAAACATAAAACCGTACAAACAAAGCAAACGCTTTCATCCCTCAAATAATTTGTGTGATGCACGTTTGTTTGCATTTTGCGCTCTCACTTCACCTTTTGCTTACGAAGTCTTCGAAGTTTTTCACTACATTTAAACTTCGAAGACTTCGAGAACAAAAATTCACAAAAACTTCGAAGTTTTTTCCAACTTCGAAGACTTCGTTGAAATGCGAATATTCGAATATTCGAAGAACTTCGAATTTTTAAAAACTTCGAATAATGTGAACAGCACTATTATATACTCGAAAATTTGCTGTTGGCATCCACTTGTGTATACACAATTTTACTCGAAGTTACTGCAAGTAGCTCGTGGAAAGACCTAATATTCTCTGTTATCTATGGTTGTTTTAGACAGTTAGGAAGCTTGGCAGCACTTACAGGTGCGAATAGAAACGTCATATCTTTTGTTGTTTATTTACTTTAATCAGTTGACGTTGTAATATTTTTATTTCATTCAATTTTATCCAATTTGGTACTATAATAAAAGCGAATTACTATAAAAATATCATGATTTCTAACAGTGCAGTTTCACAAGATGAGGACAGAATACAGAAACGTGTAAATAAAATACTTGAAACGCGTTTGGAAACAGATAAAGTAAAGTCACTGTGATATATCAATTCATTATAAAAGTTAAAATAATAATCAATTTTTAAATTA